GATATGTCGCTGAAGAGCGGAGGAGCTGGAACCGTCTCGATCTGCTCGCCAGCGTCGGGGGGGCCCACTGGCTTGTCGACTGCCCCTGACGCCATAGCCCCCCTCATGCCCTTCTGGACTCGCTCTGGCTAGACGGTGCTTGGCGCGGCACGTGAACTGTGCATATTCGGCTCCATCGGCGTCGCGGGAGGATCGAGTTGGGCCGGAGGCGGCGTCGGCGACCTCTGCCGCAGCGACTTCTGACCACACCCGCGAGGCGGCGGGGCGACCTGCACGCCCAAGGCCTGCAACGCTGCCGCGAGCTGGCCCGTCGCAGGGCTCGCTCTCGTTCCCGCTTCTCGGCACTGGGAGGTCGGCGCTGGCCGCTGCGGCCGAGGCCGGCAAATTCAACAGCGGACGCGGCCCTGCCCCTGCGAGCCCCGACGGCAGCTGCGGGGCCGGAGCTGCCGCGGCCGGAAACCCCAGCGGCTGAGCTACGGCCCCTGCCGCTGAGCCGCCGCCGCACTCGCGCCTGCGCTGGCGGGACCGATGGCAGCGCCCTGCATCGCCATGGCGAGCTGGCCAAGCTGCATGAGAACGCTGCTGGTCGAGTTGACCTCGGTGATGATCCCCTGCATCATGGCGATGATCGACGCGACGCGATGATCTCGATGTCTGATGATGTTGGCCACGTCCTCTCGCGGCGGCGGCGGCGACGGCTGCGCCCCGCGGCGGCGGCGGCGGGGGCGGCACGGCCAACGGCTTGGGCGCCACCGGTGCCACTGACGCCCTGGGTACCGGGCCTGCCACGGCAGCTGGCGGGCCTGGCCCGGCGCCGATCGGCGCGCCTGCTGGCAAGCGGGCGGCCGCCACCGCTGGAGCGCGTCGTGGTGCCGCCACACCAGCCCATGTGGAGCCAAAGTGCGGCCGTTTCCACGCGGCGTCGGCCATGGGATCGTCGCCGCCATTCACCATGTCGCACTGCTCGAACAGCCTGACCTCCTGGATGCGCGAATGAAATTAGTCCGGCGCGTACACGGATCCCATCTCTTCCTCGGCCATCAGGGCTGCGGCATTGGGAAAGGTTGACAAGAAAGTTGTCTTTGCCCGCGCAATCTGCATGCTCGCAGCCAAACTGTTGTTGGAATGGCCGAGGCTTGATCTCTCTCTTGCCCTGGGGTCCCCACGGATGTGCCTAAGCTGCCCCACGATCAGCATCACGATTGGATCGGATGGTCCGGATTTCGGCGCTGCGGAGCGCGTCTGGTAGGATGTAATCAATATGTTGAGCCTGCGCTAGGCCACTGTTCAGGGAAAAGCAAGCCTGATGAGGGTGTGAAGTGTGAGCCTGGCCACACGGTCATCGATTATCCCTGCGACGATGGTAGCCATCTGCTTATGCAGAACAAATGCAGGTTTCACAGCACGGGAGCTCGCATTCATGGTCTAGACAGGCAGTGTTCAGGCCGCCACACCAGGAATGCTGACAATCATTGGTGCGAGCTGTGCAAGGGCATCCATCCTAATCCCCGCAGACGCCACGTAACGGTTGACGTAAGTGCATTATGTGAACTTTCCGGCAATGGCATTATCTCGCAGCCTGCCCCTCCTCTTCTCAGGCTTCTGACCATTTCGCGGAGGCATCTGGACCCCCTCGTTTGGAGGGCGATGCTAGACCGCCGGTGCCAGAACTTTGTGCTGGGCCTTCTGATGCCGACGGAAGATTGCTCGAGGGTTCAGCCGCTGGCCTTGCTCGCCCTGCCTCCGGTCGCGCCCGCCTTGGACCGCCGAGCGAGGACAGTCAGGCCCCGCAGGCTACACCAGGCCCATCTCCCTCGGACCCCGTTTCTGGTCAGAGTGGCAGCGGCGCTGCGCCTTCGGGAGGTGCCCCCACTCTCTTTCACGAACCAGGCAGGCACTGCGGCGATTCCTAGGTTCTACCTCCCACGTCAAACTAGATTACAAGCAAGCGTGTTGGACGCCAGTTCGGGGAGCTCAGTTTGACCCATTTTCTCACGGCCACTGGGTTCCCAGGCCTGACTCCTTCCTCGTTTTGATCGCTGTTTCCGCGGCGCCGTGGGACTGGCTGCCTGTACGTCCTGTCCCCCTCGCTCCTCTGCTTGTCCTCGCCATGGCGCGAGGCATCCCACAGTTTCTTCGACGTCAGCGGTCGGGCAGGCCGGTGGCGAACGTGGTAGCGGACGAAACAAACCGCGAGCGCCGCCCAGCCCTGCCCCAGAAAGTTGTAAGTCTCTTTTGATAGCGGCTGGTGGCGGAAGCGGCAGTGGGCGAAACAGACCACGAGGGCCATCTAGTCCGCTCCCAGGCACAGGATGGTTTATACGTTTGTCTTCGGCCCTCATCCTAAGCTGGCGAACTCTCCTCGGATTCTCTAAATGTTTCTGCCAGCGGGAAGGTGTCGGCCCCTCGTCAATGTTGTTCCGACGACGCATGGTGTGGAACTCCGTCTTTCTGGCTCAGGGTATGGCTTCGCTTTGCGTTTGCCAAGTGCAAGACGTTTATCCCTGCCACTTGGCGGAGCCAGGTGGTGTCTCGCGCTCGGTTTCTTCTCTCGCAGTGGTGCTGGTGATGTGTTGTGCCTCTGGGCGGGTGCCTTGCGTGCGAGTCTCTGTCCTCCGCCTTTCTCTCCCTTTCGGGTTCATACGTGCCCGCCTTTCAGGAGTCCGCCCACTTGCGGCGTTGCGGCACAGCTGGCAGGGGTTCCAGTCGCATTTGTCTGCGCACTGTTTGCTTGGTTGTGGGGCGTCGAATCCAAAACAAAACTCTCGGAGATCTGACCCTTGCGGGCACGCAACTGGCCGAACTGGGCTGAGACCTGAATCATGTACTTGGGAATGCTGATCTCCAACGATGTGGCTTCTGCAATTCTGCCCGCCTCCTTGGCGGCAATGGCGAGTGAAGCCAACCTGGTGAATTTTGGCATTACTTTCGTTTTGAAATCCTTCACCGCTTCAACGTCCTGCGGTGCTTGTGGCTCCTGGAACCAATGGACTTGCCAAGGCTGAAGTTGTGCAGTCTCTCCTCTCGTAGTTTGCATAACCTTGGCAATAAATACACGCACTTGGCGTGACCGAATCGGTCCATCACTCTTCCCCTTGCCTCGACCCTTCTGATCACCTTGGTCATTCGACCTCGGCCTTGAGACACTTCTGGGACGGAAGCCAGAGCCATTACTACGTACCTAGTTGCTGTCAAAATGATGACCGCAGAGACATGTCCAATGGTGGCCCCTGACTGTTTTCACGCAGTGTATAACCACGTGCCCCCAGGGCAAGGGCCAGCACTTCTCGTGGCTGGGGGTCCCACTTTTTGAGCTGAGTGATGAGCTTGTAAGAGCACACGGGCCTCTGAAAGTCTGAGGAGCAGACGGGCCCTCGCGCGGGCCTGCATCTTTCTCCAATGCCAGGTCTCTTACTTCGACAACCTTCTCCATGCCGTGATTCCTCCCTGGCGCACCCCTAGACGTGTCGGTAGGGCGGGCTGGGCGTTTCGCCTGCCACTTTCTCGCCAACTATGGTCCTGGAATAGATTCACCAGCTTCACGGATGGAGGGCGGGTCCTTTCAAAAATGTGGCGCTCGCCTTCGTACCGCGCATGTTCGTGTGAAAAAATGCAAAGGCTTCGAGGACGGAGGACAGGTCCTCTTCAAACTGTTGATCTCGCCTTGGCGCCGCGCACTTTCGCCGAAAAAAACTGCAAAGGTCTCAACGATGGAAGGCGGTTACTTTTCAAAATGTGGCTCTCGCCTTAACGCCGCGCACATTCGTCTTGGAAGTTCGCAACCGTTTAAAAAGAGGAGGGCGGCTCCTTTTTAAAAATGTGGATCTCGCATCTGCGCCACGCACATTCGCCCTCAACGTTTGCAACAACTATAAGGGCTCGCACGGATGAAGTCCCAAGAATTGTCTTCAGGCACGATTTAGGGTGGCCAGCACGCACAGTCACGCTGAGTCGCCGTGTCCCAGCAATGGTTTCTGGCAAAATTTAGGACTGTCCGGACGCAACATTCAGGTTGATTCGGGGCATTGAAACCAGAACTTCTTGCGTTTGGGCGCGATTGGGGATTCTTAAACAACTGACTTCCAATGGGGCACTTCCCGCAATGAAAGCAAATAGTTGTAGGGACCTTTTATTGCAACATCATTGATGCGCTTTGGGTTTACACTGGTCCTCCTCCTCCTCCTCCTCCTCCTCCTCCTCCTCCTCCTCCTCCTCCTCCTCCTCCTCCTCCTCCTCCTCCTCCTCCTCCTCCTCCTCCTCCTCCCCTTTTCATTAAGAATAATTCCTCCCCAGACGTCTCGGTAGGGCGGGCCGGGCGTTTCGCCTGAGACTTCCTCGGCAGCCCGACGCGAAAGCCACTTGCACGGATGGAGGGCGGGCAGTTCTCAAACTATGGCTCTCGCCTTGTCGCAGCGCACCTTCGTCTTGAATGTTTCCAGCAGTTTCAAAAATGAAGGGCGGTTACTCTTCAAAATGTGGCTCTCGCCTTAGCACCGCGCACATCCGTCTTAAAAGCTTACAATAACTTCAAGGATGGAAGGCTGGTCCTTTTGAAATGGCTCTCGTCTTGGCACCACGAATATTCGTTTGAACGTTGTGCAGCAATCCCACGGATTATGGAGGGCGGGTCCTTTCCAACATGTGGCTCTCGCGCCTCAGCGCCGCACGCAATCGTCTTACAAGCTTGCACTGATTTCAAAGATGGAGGGCGGTTGTTCTTGAAAATGTGGCTCTCGCATCTGTGCCGCGCACATCCGTCGTCAATGTTTGAAGCGATCTCAAGGATTCGTATGGTTCACATACCAGGAACGGTGTTCTAGTACGGTTGAAAACTGTCTGGATGCAGCAGTCACGTTGATCCGCGGTGTTGAAGTCCAAGGAATTGCGGTCGGACACAATCGATGATTCTCTGGAAGCAAACGACGTGTTGATCCGCGGCGTTGGCGTCCCAGGAATTATGCTTTAGCACGGCTGAGGATTATCAGACGGTTGTCTTCTAATCAGCCACTTCCCGCAATGAAAACAAATGATCGCAGGAACCTATGAGGGAACTCGGAGGGAGCATGTATTACAACATCGTTGATGAGTCTTGGGCTTACACAGGTCCACCTCCTCATCCCTCTTCTCCTCTCCATTCCGCTTACATTCACTTCCTCCTCCTCCTCCTCCTCCTCCTCCGCCTCCTCCTCCTGCTCCTTCTCCTTCCTCTTGCTCGTTGCTCGTCCTCCCTCCCTCTCGTCATCTGGGGGAATACTGAAAGCAGGAGGGATGATGATGGTGGGGGTGATGATGACGATGGCGGTTACGACAATGATGTTTGCACTTCTGATGGTGACGCCGATGATGATGGTGACATTAACGATGACGATAATGCTGACGATGACGATGATAAGGCTAATACCGTTGCTGCTGTTCCAGAGCTGCCTCTCTTTTTTCGCACCGTCCGCGGCGGTGGGGCAGCAGACCCACGTAAGGGGGCGCCCCCTCGCGAGGCCAGCGCGGCGCGTACGCGAGCGCGGCAGCGAGCGAGGTCGCTCAGCGCCGAAGCCTGCTGCCAGACTCCTGCTTCTTGCTCCTCGCGCCAGCCTCGATGGCGCTGATCGCGTCCTTTCGGAGGCTGCCAGGACGTGAGCCTGGCCCAAGGTGCACCCCCACTTTTCGCGCCATGTTGAAACCCCTGGGGGCCCTCTGGTCCTCGCTCCCGAGGCCATCCAGGCCTCCCTGGGAAAGCGGAGGGCACCTTGGGCCAGGGCCACCTCTGGCAGCACCCGATCCTTGATCTGGCTCTTGTTGATGATCGTGCGCTGTTCGACTATGTTCAGGCGGTTCGAGAGCTTGGCGCACTGCGCGTTGATGGACTTCAGGTTCTCCATGGCGGTGATCACCTCGTCGTCGTCGTCGTCGTCGTCGCCGCCGCCAATCATCTTGGTCGTCGGTCGCCGTCCGTCGTCAGCGTCGCCGTCCATCGTCGTTGTCGTCGTCGTCGTCGCCGCTGGTGTCCGTCCGTCGTCGCCGTCGCCGTCGCCGTCGCCGTCGCCGTCGCCGTCGCCGTCCGTCGTCGGTGGCCACCTCTTGCTGCAGCTCGGCGTGGAACTGCTCGGCGGGCTGCTGCTGGACCAGGTGGCGCACGGCCTGCACCTGCCCGGGCACCCACGGCGACAGCAGGGCCTGCCCGGGGAGCCGGGAGGTGTCCAGCGCCGTGCACATCTGGAAGAGGGCCTCCTCGTACTCGGGGCACCAGGAGGCGCCGTAGGCCTGGAGCTCGCGACTTGCACCCTTCAGGTACTCCAAGGCCTCGCGGATGAGGCCGGCGTGGTCGCAGAGGGGCCAGCAGGCGAGCTCCCAGAGGGCCTTGAGCCGGGGGATCTCGCAGTACCTGCCGCTGTGCCGGTACCACAGGTGACGCATGATCACCTGGCGCGCGAAGTGCAGCGCCAGCTCGTGCGGACGGCCGTCGGCCTCAGGAGGGACAACAGAAATCGTACCGGCTCCCGCTGCTCACCGGACCTCTCCCAGGGCTGCAGCGACACGGGGCCACCAGGAGGGCCCAGAAGGGCGAAAGCGGGGGAAGAAGGGCCTCCCCAGAGATCCGATGAACTCAGTTCTTCATGTCAGGGTCCCCCTCCCCAGAAGTCCCGACCCTTTTCCCCCAGGGCCGGCTTTTCATCCTGAGGCGGCCGGGTGAGGGCCCCTGAAGGCTAAAAACGGCGAAAACCTCCGACTCGATGTGTCCGATAATTACGTTGGAGGTCTGAGTCCGAGGCCTCCCCCGTAGTCTCGTGCAGCAGCTCGATCTCCAGCAGGCCCTCGTCCCACAAGCAGCGGCCCGTGACCGGGATGACCAGGGGCTCCAGGGAGCACATGCGCTCCTGCGGCCGGCCCTCGGCCTCGAGCGCCCTCTCCTCGCTGGCGCTGGCCGCCGCAGCCTCTGCGACCACCCCCTCGGCGGCCGGGCCGAGGCAGTCGGGCCACGCGTGCGGGAGGAAGCCGCGCTGCGGCACGAAAGCCGCCTTGGAAGGAGAACAAACTACAGGAGCGCACGGCCGAAACATGGCCACGAGGACGTGGGTCCAAAACATGAGCCCTCTCGCCGAAGGCCGGAGACGCCGGAGAGATGCCCAAAACGGCGAGCACTCCGAGGTGGAACGCCCAAGCACGAAGAAGATAAGGGCACCCTCTCCTGGCCCGTCTGGCGCCGTCGGAAGCCGTCTTGGGGGACCTCTATGGGCCGACTTGGGGCCCTCTTGGGGTGCTCCAGGGCCGTCTTGGAAGCCATCTTGGGCATCTTGGAGGCCTCTTGGGCCGTCTTGGAGGCCTCTTGGACCGTTCTGGAGCCATCTTGGAGGCCTCTTGGGCGATCTTGGGGCGATCTTTGGGAGCTCCTGGGCCGTCTCGGGCCGTTGGAAGGCCGATAAGAAGCAAATGCCAAGATCATTCAAAAACCTAAAAAGGAATCAATGATTTGGGCCTCTTCGGGCCTTCCTGGAGGCACTCTTGGAGGCCTCTTGGGCCGTCTTGGAGACCTCTTGGGGGCCTCTTGGACCGTCTTGGGCCATCTTGGAACCATCTTAGGCCGTCTTGGTGGCATCCCAGATGGGGTCCGAGTAGATGGGGTCGGAGGATCGCGCCGCATCGCCAATGCATCGCCGATGCATCCCCGATGCATCGGCGAGGTCGGCGATGCATCAGCGCCGTCGGCGTGGCGAAAATCGGGCTCCGCATCGAGCCGCCTCGCCGATGCATTGGCGATGCGGCGCGATCCTCCGACACCATCTACTCGGACCCCAACTGGGAGGCCTAGGAAAACTAAGGCTGTTCTTAAACCTCGTGCCAGCTGTAAACTTGCAGAGGGCCGCGCGAACCTCCGAAAGTTGACTGTCAACCCGTGCAATAAGGACGCACGATAAAGATGCCATGGAAGGCCATCTTGACGTTTTTCGAACGGGGCTGGCCAACGAAAGTGGCCAAGGATGAGCCGAAGGGGAAGGATGCAGGGGTAACCTTGGAAAGACGCTCATCCTCACTATGCGGGTTGACTGTGAGTGTTGCTTTCCCCTCCGACGCCTGGAACAGCCTGGTGCCGACGTACTGAAGGCGCCGCAGGAGGTGCTGGCCCGCCCAGTGCCTCCAGAGGAAGTCAACCGACCACCTCGCCCGTCCTGGCCAGGCACATCCTGGGCCCAGGATCGGCGTGTCAACACGCCATCCTGGTTGGGCCAGGGAGGCGCAGGCACCGCTCCTGGGCCCAGGATCGGCGAGGCGGCGGCCAGGAGCGGTGAGGTGGTCAGCTAACGGTCGGATCGGTGAGGTGGCCAGCTGACGTCCCCCGTGACGCCTTGGACACCGGCGCTCCGGCTCCCGCTCCACAGCACCGCCCGCGGGCTGGCCGCCGTCCTCCTCGCCCTCCAGGCGGGGCCGCTGCTCCGCCCGTGCCTTGCGACCCGCGTCGAAGCAGGCGCCCACGATGTCGTCGATGATCTCGCTGCGCATGATGATGGGCGCGCAATGCGGCTTGGACAGGAACTTCTCCAGCAGCACGTTCTCGACGAGGTCGCAGAGCTCCTCCGCCTCCATCTCGCGGTAGCCGCCCAGGATGCGCAGCAGCACCTTCGACGCCTCGGCATGCTCCGCGACGTCCGCGAGCCAGGCGGCGGGCACGACGGTCGGCTTCTTCCACGCCAGCAGGCGCGTCCTCCGGCTCCTGGAAAAAGCCTCGGCGAACGCCCGCCTGGCCTAGAAGAGAGGAAGACAGCATGAACACAACTTGTCGGAGGTCCGCGCGGATTCCGACATCTTGTGCTCATGCCGTTCTTCTTCCCCGAGTGCCTCGACCCTGCGCTCCGACAGCATCAGCATGCGTATCAGCAGGGCGGTCCAATTCGGCGGCGCGCGGCCGATGTCCACGTACTCCACGAGCTCCACGAGGCACAGCAGCAGGCGGGCGCCCACGTTCTCGCAGACCTCCTCGGGCAGGTCTGCCTTGGCCTCCTCGTCCTCCTCGTGCTCGCTGGCGAGGGCCGCCGCGCCAGGGGCCCCGAGGCCCCGAAGCGGCGGCGTCCCCACCTCCAGAAAAAGAGAAACGGTTATAATACAAACGTTCGGAGGTCCGCGCGGACCTCTGGGATCGGCGCTGGACTCCCCTCTCGGGCGCGCGGAGCGCGAGGCGCCGCCAGGGGGGTCCGACGTCGACCCAAAAAGTCTGCGTGGACCTCCGAACAATTTACGATTGTGCCGACTCTTGCTCCTCGAACCTCGCTGTCGCCCAGAATCCTCTTCCGCATGCACTGCAGCGCGAAGAGGTGCACATCCCAGGACACCCGGGCCCTCAGGGGCCTGTCCGTGAGGTTCTTCCACAAGGAATTCACCGGCAGAAGCGCGCTGCTCACGAAGCCGGTCTCCCCCTCCCGGCGGTGATGCAGTCTCAGCAGCTCGCAGCATACCCGCAGGCTGCCCGTCGCGAGCCTCGGCCCCAACACGAAGTCCCCCATGTCCAGCTGCGACGCTAGCGTCAGGGCCGCCCGCTCGGTCCGCTGCCACATCATGGTCTCCAGCAGGAAGATCCGCAGGAACTCCTCCGTGCCACCCTCGTGGGGGTCGCCAGCATGCGGGCTCTCGAGGGTGGCGTCGTGCCCGCTCGCCGCAGTGAAGGGCAGCAAGTACTCGAGCAGCTCGAATCTGCCCCGCGACGAGAGGGAGCGGATGTGTATCGAGTCCATCACCTCGTCGAACACCCTGGGACACTCCAGCAACCACGCGGCCTCGAAGAGATTGAGGACGTTGTCAGCATTGACCGAGAGCGAGGATCCATCGTTGAACACAGCGCCCTCGTCGGTGCTTGTAAGCATCGCCACGATCTGCTTGAACACGTCCGCGCCGCCCGGGAAATCTTCCAGCGGGCAGTCGCTGGCGTTGGTCGCCTGAACCTGCGCGCGGAAACAAACTCTCGGAGTCGGCGGCGCGAGGAGAGAGGGCGGCGGGGATCCCGAATGGTCAGTGGGCGATCGACACTTTACCCATGCCCCTGCTCACGCCCCCAATCCCACGAGGGACCAGAAGGGGCATGCATGACAATCCGACCTCTCTGGAGCCAGACTTCCCATCCAGGCCCTGACCCCTTAGCGGGCAGGGCTGGAGGCAACAGCAGGGGTATTTTTCATGACAGCACCACCAAGAATTATGGACAAAGCGCCGACCGCCGATTCATGGCCCCTACGAATCTGGCAACCAGCGCGTTCGCGCGAAAACATCGACACCCGACGTAGCGACCAAACCAGCAACAACAAACAAACAAGCCAAATAAATAAATACAAACAAGCACAACAACAACGACAGCAATCACAATACCAGCAGCAACAATAAGAGAAAACAACAACAACAACAACAACAACAACAACAACAACAACAACAACAACAACAACAACAACAACAACAAGGTCGACACGTGCACTGCCCACCCATCCACAGCCCGACAGTCCACGCCTTTATCCACTGGGCGAACACGTGGACTGACGACCCGTGGACCCACTCCCCCCCCGCCAACACCAACACCAACACCAACACCATAGGGAATCCTATAGGGTCCCTATGGAATCCCATAGGATCCCTCTGGTCACCGTGGTTCTGAAACCACCCTTACACACCTCCACATATTCCTGCGACTGAAAACGGTGTGCGCACTGGCGAAGCGACCTTCGGGCATCCACCGGAATCCATGCGGAATCCTAGACATCCCGAGGGAATCCCTAGGGAATCCCTGGGGATTCCTGAGGTCCTATACAAAGCCTGCACGCCCTGTACGGAATCCTATACAGAGCCTACACGGGCTGCGCGGGATCCTATACAGAGCCTACACGCCCTGCACGGGATCCTATCCACGGGCCTGCAAGCCCTGTATGGGATCCTATACAGCCTACACGGCCTGTATGGGATCCTACACAGAGCCTACACGGCCTGTATAGGTTCCTATACAAAACCTACACGGCCTGTGTGGGATCCTATACAGAGCCTCCACGCCCTGTATGGGACCCTATGCAGAGCCTACACGGCCTGTATGGGATCCGATACAGAGCCTACACGGCCTGCTTGGGATCCTATACAGAGCCTACACGGCATGTAAGGGATCCTATACAGAGCCTAAACGCCTTGTATGGGTTCCTACACACAGCCTACGCGGCCTGTACGGGAACCTATACAGAGCCTACACGGCCTGTGTGGGATCCTATACAGAGCCTACACGGCCTGTATGGGATCCTATACAGAGCCTACACGGCGTGTACGGGATCCTATACAGGAGCCTACACGCCCTGTATGGGGTCCTATACAAAGCCTACACGGCCTGTGTGGGATCCTATACAAAATAGTAGTCGCAGTAGTAGTAGTAGTAGTCGTCGTAGTAGTAGTAGTAGTCGTAGTCGTAGTAGTAGAAATAATATTAGTAGTAATAACAATAAAGTTGTAGTAGCAGTAGTAGTAGTAGTAGGAGGAGTAGGAGTAGTAGTAGTAGTAGTAGTAGCAGTGGTAGTAGTAGTAGTAGTAGTAGTAGTAGTAGTGGGAGTGGTACGAGTATTAGTAGTAGTAGTAGTAGTAGCAGCAGCAGTAGTAGTAGTAGTGGTGGTAGTAGTAGTAGTAGTACTACTACTACTAATAGTACTAGTAGTATTAGAAGTACTAGTGATACTAGTAGCACCAATAGTACAAGTAGTACTAACTGTACTAGTACTACTAGTAGGAGTAGTAGTTGTAGGTAGTTGTAGTAGTAGAACTAGTAGTACTAGCAGTAGTAGTAGTAATAATCATAAAAGTACTAGTAGTAATGGTAGTAGTAGTAGTAGTAGTAGTAGTAGTAGTAGTACGAATAGAAATAATAGTAATAGTAGTAGTAGTAATAATAATAGTGGTAGTAGTAGTAGTAGTAGTAGTAGTACTAGTAGTACTAGTA